TATATATATATATATATATATATATATATATATATATATATAATGTGTATATATATAATAATAATATATATATATGATTTTGATTACTCCATTGCCAGATTATTTTGCTTAGTTTAAGGAAAAAGTAGTTTAATAACACAATATTTGTTTTTTGTCTAGAAAATGCTTCTCGATTTAATAGTTCTTAGATATATGGACTAGAAACATGACAAACTAGTTTTTTCTTCTTTTTCCCGCATGAAATGTATCTAAATTTGAGTTTATTTAAATGTGAAAAGTATATTTGAGAAGCAAAATTGTAGCTTTTGTCAAATTTAATTGTATATATAATAATAACAATATAATTTTTTAAAATAATAATAAATATAACTAAAAAACATTTGTCAAATATTTTGTTCTGTTTTCCTTTTGTAAAATATAATTAAATAAATCACTGAAAACCGACAATATATTTGTGAAATGGTCAGAAAAACAAGTTGTTTTGCTTCTCAAGTATCACGTTTCAAGAATGTTTGGCTATTTTTGTCTAAAACAAAAACCTAATAATATTTATCAATATTATTATCATTATTATGATCATTGTCAATGTAAAAACAGTCACTGGCCACCTATACAAGGAGTGAGTGTGTACTTGTTCAAATGACAACATTTTAGTGTGTGTGTTTCTGTCTGTGTGTGTGTTTCTGTCTGTGTGCGTGTGTGTTTCTGTCCGTGTGCGTGTGTGTTTGCGCGTATGTAAAACGAAGCAAGAACAAAAGGATTGCACACATTTCAGTCCTACTAATGCATGACAGGATTTGCAACAAAGAGCTTTAGTTTTATATCATTACCTATGAATCAATATTATATGGAGAAATATTTACATTTAGAGTGATTTTTTTTCTAAAATAATGATCTGTAACATCCTAGGAGGCCAAAAAATAAGTTTAATTTATTATATACACTAACCGGCCACATTATTAGGTACACCTGTCCAACTGCTCGTGGTGCAAATTTTGAATCGGCCAATCACATGGCAGCAATTATATGCATTTAGGCTTGTAGACATTTTCAAGACGATCTGCTGCAGTTCAAACCAAGTATAAGGATGTGGAAGAAAGGAGATTTAAGTGACTTTGAACGTGGCAAAGTTGTTGGTGCCAGATGGGCTGGTTTGAGTATTTCAGAAACTGCTGATCTACTGGGAGTTTCACGCACAACCATCTTTAGGGTTTACAGAAAATGGTCAGAAAAAGAGAAAATATCCAGTGAGCGGCAGTTCTGTAGACGAAAATGCCTTGTTGATGCCAGAGGAATGTAAGATGTACCTAATAAAGTGGCCAGTTAGTGTCAATTGGAATCAGTACATGCTAATATTATGCAACAGTGAAAAAAGAGAAGCTTTTGAAATGACGTGTTTCTTTGTGGAGGATAAAAAAACAGAAAAAAATAACAGAGGAAGTGTATTGAAATTGGTTTTAAGGCGAAATGAATAGAGGTGTTGAAGATCTCATCAATGCTGGGCAGATCCTGAGTAAATCTCTCCTATATTAAAGCTAAGCCCTTCCGTCAAACACAATGCTGAACTGTTAGTAGCAATTCTCCCACATATCCTCTTGTAAAGCTCACTCGGTTCATTTCTAGCAATCATACTCTAGTATTTTTTTTTTCTTGTTCTCGGAATTGCAGGATTTCCGTAGGCGTTTTTTAATTTGTAATGTTTTAAGAGATCTACATGGGTAAATTCACGTAAATGCTATGCGGATGGCAGGATATGTTATACGCCCTGAAACTGACGGTTTGTCTTCCAAGTTTTTTTCTGGTGTTTTTTTTTTTCTTGCACACTAGCTTGATAAGAGATGTTGTGTTTTTGGGTCTGTTTTACAGCCTGGTAAACACAGCAGATGACCGGCCCCTGGTTTATTTGTTATTCTTTTTTGAATGGTTACTGTCTTCTGGTCTGATTTCTGAAGCCCAAAGAATACTTGTTGTTTGCTTAAAAATATTCTTAATTTATCTGTGTACGCTACAAATAATTTAGAGTTGTGTCAACTCAATTTTGGGTGAATTATGGAAAAAACTAAACTAAACTGTTAAGTTAATTTTTTTTGAGAATTTATTTACTTAATATAGCTGGGTTTATCTCTATTTTCCACAGATTTGGGATAAAAATTATTATTATTATTATTATTATTATTATTGCTGCTGTTATTAATATTGTTGTTATTGTTATTAAAATAAAAATAACATAAATAAAAATAACTACTATTGATGTTAATATTATTGGTATTATTATTATTATCATTATTAAAATAAAAAGTAATAACATAATAATAATAATAATAATAATAATAACAAATAATAATAATTAAAATAAAAAAGCAATAACATAAATAATAATTAATATATTATTATTATTATTATTATATAATCACTATTAATAATAATAATTATTTATTATATTATTATTATTATTATTATTATTATTATTATTATTAAAATAAAAAGTAATACCATTAATAATAATAAAAAATAAATAATAATTATTATTATAATAAAAATAAAATAATAATTATAATTTATGTTATTACTTACTACTGTTATTACTTAATTACTATGTTATTATGTTTTGTGTCAACATTGTAAGCATTTGAACTGAATGAGAAACATTGCAATTTTATAATTAATAAAGAACAAATAAAAATGTTAATCAATAAATTACAGAATAAAAGTACAGAATAACCTAGGATGTGCAATATTAACTTAAAATATCAATGGCCCGTAGGTTCACACCTCTAATATATATTGATATATGATCACCAGCAGTCTTTGTTACCTTAATGAACTACAACTCCCAGAAGAATCGACCATAAGCTGCGAGTATTTCAAAGCGTTCTATTTAATAAGCCTTACTGTGTTTTTGACCCTTGCCTTGTTTTCTGCTTCCTGTTGTCTTGCCGTGTGACCCGCCTGTACTTTGACTACGCTTTTGGATTTTGCTCCTGCTTGTCCCTGTATTGACCATTGCCTGCTTTGGGACAGACGGCAAGACAACAAAAAAACAGCAAACAAGGCAAGAGTCAAAAACACAGAAAGGCTAAACAAGGAGAATGCTTTGAATTGCTCACAGCGTGTTCTGCGAGTTGCAGTTCATTAACGTGGCAAATTATAGCTGCACAGGCTAGATCGCTGTAGAGCTACAATATGCCACTTTAGTGAATAGATAATGATATTCACCACATCTAAACCAAGACAAGACGTTCAGACGGTTTTTTTTAGGTTTTTAATACCTGAAAGCTGTCAGAAGATATGTATTATCAATTATGACCATTGATTTATTCCAAAACAACGCACACCTCGGACATGCACTATTTTTTTTATAGTTTAAAAGCCTGTCATCAATTATTCAGCTAATATTCAATTATTTTCAATAACCTAAAGACAATAATATTTTATCTGAAGACACTCATCAGTTTCTTTTGTCTTTAATCGTGCGTTCAAAAGTTGTATATTATAAATATTCAATGTGTAAACATTTTAGTACTGCTTAATAGACGTTTTTGTTTTGATTCACTTCAAATGTTGACTACTACAATTGGTGCAAAAGCAACAACAACAACAGTAATAATGATAATAACAATTATAGCTACAATAATAAACTGTGTATTAAAAAAGTTTTTCGAAAACCCCATATGCTGACTTCCACCGACATCCAAATATTAAAGTATATTTTGGGCTTCACATGAAAACCGGAAATACGTTAAGTATGCAAAACGGTAAACATGTTCGATTGGTTATGAACTAAGTCATGGTGTTAAAGCTAAATGTTAATTACCAAAACCTGTATTTTTAGACTATATTTTGAGTGCTTATATATTGCACTGTGGGATACGGTACTGCATATAGTCTGCGCAGTACTCCTCCTCTGTTTGTGGTTTTGTTTCAATCCTTCACAAATCGTTTACTGGTTCCCTTATTTTACTCGACAACAAGAGCTCCGTGTAATATAACATGCTCGTTCTCTTATATAGCAGACTTCGATGTATTCGTGAAAGTTCCTTTCCGCTAACTTCCAGAGGCGTTCGGGAACTGAACGTAGCTGCTTTTTGGTCACACCTAACACACTTTTGAACAGTATATTTCTCTCATAACCGGATGTGAGTGTGCGGATGCTTGTATGTGTGACTGTATTTGAGTAAGGTGCTATTTTGTCATATTTTATTTTATTTTTTTTATTTGGAACATAACTTGCATGATTTTTTGGTTCAATAACTTTTGTGCCAATGGTCGCTTTCCATCCTGGACTTTCTCTTTCTCTCTCTCGTTCCTCCACTTGTTCTCCTGTGATATTTTTTCCCTTGAGTTTCACTATTTCATATTAAAAAATCAAGCAAAAAAATAATAATATTTCCTTTCAAGCATTTTAAAAAGGTCTTCTCATCAAATCACAGTTCACTGACGTGCAAAAGTAAAATGTCTGCTGAGTGCTGTACTTATACTGAGAGATTTCAGCAAGATTTCAACATTTCAAGTTTTTTTCTTATTCTTTTGTTTTTCGGAAAGCATTGAGATGTATTTAATGGTGAAGACAAAAAAAACTGCGATTAATGCATTCTTGTAGAAATATTTTTAAAAAACCCTTTTGCAATTAAATTATTTAAGAAATACTTGTGTTTGCTGTGTGAATTCTTGGGTGGCTTATTCATATCATTAAAACAAATATATAGTCTGCGCCAGTGGTGTAGTGGTTAGTGCGTCAACACATGCACAACACAACACATTGTATATATATATACATTTGACACCCCTAATATATATATATATATATATATATATTAGGGGTGTCAAAT